ATGTACAGAGAGAGAGAGAGAGAAAACCATTAAGAATGTATTACATGCTTAAAGAGGACTTGGATACAAATACTTGCGTAATGGGATTACTCATCGTCATAATAAACTACTCATTAAGCATCTTTGTATGTGGTTCTCCAATCCACCATGTACTCTAACTTTGATGTGTAACTACAACTAAAATTCACATGGAAACACTATCCATGTAAATTTCTCTTCATTCATAATGAGGACATGCCCGATTGTGATTGAAAATCATCTCAATCAATTTGGAAGTTTAGTACATGTGTAAAAGATTTAAACATAACTTTCGTTCAGATACTACGCATATTAGGAATATTTCTCTAGTTCTTGCAAATACATTAGAATATTTCTATAAGTCACACCATGACTTGTTCTTGGATTATACTGGTATCATTCGACATGTTCCAAGCATGCGACATATTTGGTCTTTATACTTAATCATGACATATATGATTAATCCAATTGTAGTTGCATATGGAATACAATCATATTATCTAGTTCAAAACATTGTACTAGGATTTTGAGGCATGCTCAAAATCATGCCATGTGTTATTTGACAAGATCAACTCTCTCAGAGTATTCACTACTAGAAAAACAGCCTTTTACGACGTGCAATGTGTGTCGTAAAACGCTCAGACGACGTGCAAATGCGTGTTAAGGAAGGCCCTATCATGACGAGAGACGACACGTTTTTGCGCGTCGTCTATAGACGACACACATTTACGACGTGCTGTTATGACACGCATTTACGACGCTGATTTACGACACGCAATGCGAATCAAGGAAGGCCCTTTCATAAAGGAAGACGACACACATTTGCGTGTTGTAACCTTACGACGCACGTTTAGGACACGCATTGCATATCATTAAAGCCGCTGTCATAAATAAAGATGACACGCATTTGCATGTCATAAACTTCAGCAACCATTTACAATATGCATATACGACGTGCCTTTACGATATTCTTTTACGCATAATACAAAAATATAGAAAATATATATAAACCAAAACAATCAATTTCATCCAATAAAATCATGTCAAAAAATTATAATACATTGATATTAAAGGGATCTGATTGTACATTGTTATTAAGAGCTTTTCCCTAACTATATAACCTAATACTACATTTGTGGCACATCTAATGAAAAATGTTGCAAGAGGCTGATTGTCCGCTTCACTGTTTCTTCCTTATCTTTTTTTAACTTCCTTTCCTGCTCAACAAACATAAATGTTGATTAGATTCATGTTGTGTTTATTAGTATTCGGTTTTTATGATTCCCAATAGGATATATATATGAATGAATAGTAGGGGATTATATATGATCTTAATTCATGTAACAAAAAGGAGAAGGGATGTATGCGTATGATCTTAACCTTAACACCCTTGCATTTAACCAAATGAATTAGCCTCATCATACAAACAATTAATAATTACAACACCTGATATGATGGAGTATGTAATTGGACCATAACGTGTGGTGTGGTTTACAATTTTTTAAAGCATCTTCCCATATGACTCTTAATTATGTGGCTAACACTCTACCAGATGTAACTAAACATGACCAGGTCTGTATAAAAAAAACAAAACTAAAACTAGAACTTTACCTCTTCTTTAAATGTTTTGAATTTTGTGCACTACAGTGGAAGTTCCTGTATGAATAGTGCATCTCATTAAGTCACTAATTCAATTGAGAAACTTTGAGCACTCTGTTCCCTGTAATAAGTTACACATGTAAATGAAATGATACTAGGGTAAATCTGAAAACCCTAATTTCATGGCCTTTGGATCTCATTAAGGAAAATAAGTTGTGGATCATGTCATTTACTGATTGAAAGAAAGTGTGATTGACTACATGGACACCAAGTTCCTGATTCATCGAACACTTGGTGTTCATACCCACTCAGTTCCACATAAACCAAACATAAATGAAGGGGGGCAAATCA